CCGGGGCCCAGGCTGGCGCCCACCGGCGGCTCCAGGGGACGTGCGGCGGGGCGAGGAGGGGCCGGGCCGGGCCGGGCCCCGCGCCGCGGGCAGCAGCGGACCGAGCCCGGCCGGGGGACACGGGACCGGCCCGGACCCGCCCTTACCTGGGCCGCGGCGCGGGGCTCCCGGGCTGGGACGGGCCCGAGCCCTTAGCCCCGGCGGGCGGGGCGGCCCGGGCCCCGGCCATGTTGGATCAGCTGATGCCGGTCACGATGAGGCCGCTTCTCCGGGAAACAAACTCCACGTGGCGCCGGCCCCGGCGGGATCTGGGCCGGGCCGAACCGGGCGGGCGAAGCTCGGAGCCTGGAGCCTCTGCTCGGGGTGGCACCGAGCGCCCCGCTGCTGTCTCCGGCCCAGGGGGACCGGGGCCGCCTGGGGAAGGTGCCCGGGGTGTCTAGGGCGAAGGGGGGGCCACAGAAAGGGGCCCGCGCCAGCAGCCGACAGTGGGGAGGCTTGTGATAGTCCTTAGTGCTGGATCCCGCCCCCTGCTCCGGGCCTGAGAGGACCCTAATTTCTAGCGTACAAAGGACCGGAATTGCAGATGGTGAAATGCTCGTGTCAGGCCTTTTTCTTCAGCCTGGCACTCCGCAGAGGCTCTCTCCCTGCCCCCACCGCCCTGCCCCGGCCCCTCGGGGGACCACAGATGCAGCCCCAGAATACCAGACGTGCCAGTACTTCCCCAGTGTGACCCCACTGCAGCTGCTGGGTGCTCTGCAACTTCCTGTTCTCCACAGTGATGCTGGACAGACTCATTGCTGGTGCTGGACAGGGACAGCCCTTCCCCAAAACAGGGTTGGCCAGCTTAAAACCAGGTGAACGGCCTGCCTAGGGCCCACCGCCCCTGCAGATGCAGGGCATCCTCCAACTTTATCCAGCTTCTGAGGCCATCACCCTAGGGCTGCTGGATAGGTCCCCAGAGCAATTCCCTGCACGTCTGGCCTTCCTTACCTTGGACAGAATCTTTTCATTCCCCAACCTGGCCTGGGAAGGGAGAAAAGCCGCAGCATCAATAGGTATTAAGAGGATGCTGTACAGAGAGATGCTGCTGTGCAGATTGGGGCACTAGTGCAGGGCCCATGGGGTTGCACGGCTGTGAGCCACACAGGGCCGGAAGTGGTCAAGTCACTACAGAAACGAAAGCAACACGGAACAACATGGCCCGCTCCTCCATCCACAGCAAGGAAGTGGGGAAGTGAGATGGTGCGGTGTGATCAGAGTAAACAGCCAGATAGCGCCCACACAGCTCTGCAGCACGCCTTGGCACCACTGACTTGCAACCTGGCCCTGCACTTTCAGTCCTGAGCTCCCCATACACCTCAATAGTGATTTTCAGCCTGGGACATCTAGACATACTCTTCTCCCCACCCAAATAAAGGCTACTGACCCATCTATGTTCTCCATATTCTCTCCCTTCCCTAGACCCTCCCCACCGCAGGGTTTTCTAAGCTTTTAATTTGGGGACAAATTAATGCCAGCTGGACGCTGAGCAGGGCCGGGAAGGAATTCCATCTGGCTTTTAGCACTTTGAGACCCTCTGATGAAAGGCAGAGGGTTTTTATTAGTTTCACCTGTTGGAAGGTTTGGTGTAAGGCAGACAGTCTGATGCACAGGCATTTGCACATGCAGTGCAGGGCTGTGTGACACACTCCTACAGCTACAGCGCCATGCTTTCAGCTAGGCTGCTTATGTGTGGCACGGTTATGGACCATGCTGCGTGCACAGAGCCCTTTTCACAAACAGAGTCACTTCCACAGAGAAGCAATGGCTTATTTTCTCTCACCTGAATTAGGGACTTTGGGGATCCTGTGAGCTGACTGCGGGACCTGGGACAAAGGCACACAAAGTGGAGTGGCAGCTGCGCCGGGGTCTGCCTGGTGGCCCAGAGAAAGAAACAGAGGAAGAGAGAAAGCAGAAGCTGGGAGCGACAGTGTCACAAATCCACTCCCTGTGCCACCAGCACATCCTGTGAGCTCCTTGTTCAGGGCCCTGCAACCATCACAGCTTCCCATTCACTTGCTTACGTCAGCTTTCATGGGTAAGTGGATTTTTGTTTTAGTGCAAGAAAAGATTCCAGGGCAAACAGGCAGCATCTCTTAGCCCAGATGACTCCCAGAGGAGGCCGGGCCCTCTGTGGGGGAGTGTCAGACACGGCATGATGTGAATTACTTTGAATGAGACTTTTCATTTGTGATGGGCTAAGTTCCTGGTGCTGAGCCTGCAGCCCTGTCTGTGTCCTTCAGTTCCGGTCGTGCCTCCTTTCCTAGGCCTTGGGGTGTGGGATGCAATTTCCCTTTCTTTGCCCCACAACCTCCCAGTGGCACCTGCTCTGCTGCATCTGCTGTGGCCACGTGCTCCCAAGCTCCTGCTCTGGCCGCACCTGTTCTCATTGATATCGATTAAGGGACTTGTGCAACTTCTGCTGAGCAAATTATTTGTGGGGATGAAACAACCTTCAAGGCAGCAGGAAGGTCAATGAAGAAACAAGGGACAAAACTGGCTGTAAATCACCATGGTGTGTCGTTCAGGGGAAGCCCATGTACTGCTCTAGACTCCCCCCCCGCCCTCCCCGGTAATTGGTATCTGTAGGAAGAGGTGTGGGATGGCGTGCCCTTTGGGCATTGGACCGCCTTATATGGTGGCCAGTGCAGGGTGCACTGGAGAAGACCTAATGCACCTGCAGTGCTGTCCCTTGTGGACACGTTTCTGCCTGACCCCTCCCTGTGGTCAGTTTATGGCCTGGAGCAAGAGATCAATAGCGCTTGGTTGTTGTATCCCTACTAGCCAGAGCCTCTGAGAGCTGATTCGGGCCCTGGTGAAAAAAATTTTCGGGCCCCCCAGCAAGGGCGGACCGGCTAAACAGGGCCGACGAGCGGGGGAAGCTGGGCCCTGGGTCCCCTTCCAGACCGCGGGGCCCTGGTAATTTGTACCGGCTTCCCCCCCCCCTTGTTGGCCCTGCTGCTAGCATCACTGCAGATGCTGTTCTCATTCATGTTCCATATAATGTTAAGGGAGCATTAAGCTTGCCTAGTAAAGCACTCCTGGATCAGAAAAGGCCAATGACCCACATGCACCCTTAACCCAGTCTCGGGTGTGCCTGCTTTACCGCACTCACGCTCACATACTGTTTCTCCCACCAAACAACAGAGACTAATCTGTGAGCACTACCAAAGCCATGTCTGTGCTGTGGGCTGGCCTGGATCCTGACTGGGAGGCCTCCAAGACATGGGTGATTGGTAAGATCTTTGGAGTAAGGTTTTTGCCTTGTGGGTGAAGGGGTTTGGAGCCAGGGCTTTAGTCCCTGGGAGCCGGTCTAGGTTTGCTTTTTGTCTGGACTGTCGCATGCATTGGAGGTGTGGCCGGATGGGTTCCCCTGTGGAATGTCAGCAGTGGTTATGTGTGTCTGAGAGGCACCCAAATGCCCTGGAGGATGGTGGGATAGACACTGCTTCTTGCTGCTCTGGTGCCCTGTGTCCCCTCTAGACTGTCTTGGTCTAGTCGTCAGCTGTCATGCTTCCTGTGTCGTGGTTTCTGAGTGCCAAGGGCTGAGCCGTGTGCTGGGTGTTTAGGGCCAAGATGTGGCTGGCGGTGCTCCTAGAGGGAGGTGGTGCTCCACCTCTGCACAGTGCTGCGTGCAGCTGGGAATTTCTTCTGCTCCGCTGCGCGGGCTGGAAAGCACTGCCCAATTAACTCTCCTGCTTCTTGGCCATGCATCTGCCCTGGACGTCCAGCCCTGGGTTGGAGCATTCGAAATGCTGCTGCTGAAGGCCAGAGCCTGAGAATAATGGACGGGAAATGTTGACTCCTCTTCTCTTCTGTATCTGCTCATGAGCTAAACATGAAATTGCAGGGGCTGGAGCCTCTGGCCTGCATCAGTTCAGCATCATGAGCCTCTGTCACGGCTCCCATCAGAAATCAAGTTATTTTCTCAAAGGCACAGGTTGCTCTGAGCTGCAGAGCACCTTGAGCAGCATCACTCTCTGCCCCCTCCCCAGGGCTGCCACTGCCAGACCCTGCCCACTGGGATGTCTCTTTCCCGCCCTGTGCCCAGGGCTGTCCTGCTGCAAGGTGCTGAACCTGCTGCAGAGAGTAGCCATTGTCCTTTGCTTTGGGTGTCCTGGGCTTTGTCTTCCCCAGGTTTCCCTTTTGCTTTGCCCGCTCTCCTAGGACTGGGGTTGTTCTCACTCCTGTGCCCGGAGGGGTACGTGCAGAGCAGTGAGGTGCCGCCTGCCCCAGCAGCCAAGTGAAGCCTTTCTCCCCACAGCATCCCTCACACACACCCCATCTCCAAGTCCCCCGTCCCCTCACCCAAAGGGTTAGTCTTTAATGCACAATCTTTGGTCTCTGTGGTTCTCTCTCTCTCTCTGCTTCTGGGACTGACACGGAAACCGCCGCAGCTCCTCCTCCAGGCTGTTGCTTCACACGCCTTAGCCACCCCCGCCCTCTCTTGCTACCAAAGCAGAAGGTTGAAGCTTGCCATGCTAGAAACCTGTCCTCTCTGGAGGGAAGTCTGCTGAGGAAGTCTGGACAGCGCGGCCCCCTGCTCAGCTCCTTCCTCTCCTTCGGGCTGTGTGTGATTCAGCCCCCCACAGCCTGTAGAGGAGCAGGGACCTGTGATCCAGGAAGGGGCTGTCCCGGCCATGCTGCCATGGGCAGGGGTGCTGGGCTTCCTTCTGCTGCTCATCCTCCTGCGTGTGCGGGTTTGGGTTCAGAAAGCAAAAGTTCCCAGCAGCTCTGGGGCCCAGCTGGTCTGCAAGCCCTCTGCGCTGGCTGCCTACCTGGAGAGCCAGTGCCAGGCCTTGAAAGGCCGATGCGAAGCCAGCTGGCCATGGAGGGCTCTCCCCTCCCTGCAGACACTGGCCAGCCTGATGGGGCCCCTGGACAGCAGGGTGCATTTCGTAAGGACCTATCTGCAGCTGAGTGATGAGGGGCTGGTGGCTCTGGACTGGGCAGTGGGGCCAGCACAGCAGGAGAGGAGGCAGACATCCAGCCCCTGCAGCGCACCTGTCCTGCTGCTTGTCCCCAGCTCCTTTGGGAAGGTCACCCGCAACATCAGCAAGGTAATGAGGGGGAGGGACTGGCAGTGACAGGCAACAGGGCTGGGCACTAGGAACTGCCCCCGAGCTCCAATCCCGGTTCTGCCACTGACGTGCTGGGTAACCTTGGGCCAGTCACTTCCCCTCCCTGCACCTCAGTTTTCCCCTTTGTAGAAACAGGGACCATGACCCCGACCCCTTCAGCTACAGCTCAGAGAATTTCCTTAGACAGACAGCGACAGGACGCAGTGATGGAGCCAGTCCCTGCCCCCGAGCGGCAGAGCAATGTGGGGGGGATGACTCAGGGCAGAAGTGGTCTGTTTGGAGGGTTTGGAAGCATTGTGGCCTGTTTGGGGTGGGGTGCATGGGGGTGAGTGCAGTGCCTGGCTGGAGAACATGGGGGTCACACAGGATTTGGAAGGGTGTACGGTATCTAGGGAATTGCTGCACAACCCCCCTTCCCCCCAGCACCACACACACACACCAGGGAGGACAGGCTGTTCCCACCAGGCAGCTGCATGGAGCTCCAGTCTGTCTCCCAGCTGCCCGATGCCTGGGGCAGAGGCTCTAGCGGAGGCTGTGTATAAACCCCAGCAGTGTGTTCTTTGCCCAGTACCGAAGGGGTCCCCTAGCGATTGCTACTAACAGCTGATTTAGTGCTGAGATTTATCCCCCATCCTCCCACAAGCCCACTGACCCCATTTGCCCTTCGGCTTTGCTGCTGCAGCTGACAAGCTGCATCTACAGAGAAGACAGTGGATTCTCTTGGGCTCTGGGCCAGGAGACATGAGTCTTTCTGGGATTCCTTAAACCTCTCTTCACCTTACCAGAAATGAGCCTTAGCGCCACCTCGCTAGGGCCAGCGACAGCCTGTGAGTGCAGTTAGAACAACCCGGTCAATACCAGGCAGAGAGCTCCCCAGCTAACTCCAGTCTCGGGGTCAGACAATGGGGAGCCTTGTACTCCCTTTGCTGTTCGATGCAACTGAGTCCAGGTTGCCCCCGTCAGTGGCACCCACGCCTAGTGCCGCACGGCCCGACTGCAGCACGGGACGTGTGCTGGGTCCATATGCCACTTCTGGATGCCCTTGCCCACTCCACACCACCTAGTGCTGATATTCTTTAACCGCTTCATTCATGATTCCTGTCCTCTGAACCCTGCCCCTAGGCGGTGCCCATCTGAAAAGGGGTAAAGAAGATGCCAGTGACATTTTCCAATGATGCTGAATTGGGAGGAGTTGCAAACAAAGGGAGCTAGGGAGATGGGAAGCATGGGCAGAAAATAACAACATGCCATTGCGCGTGGGAAATGCAGCCAACCCACCTGACCATCTGGGGCAGAAACCTCCCTCTTGCAGGGAGGGGCAGGGCTCATGAACTTGGAGGTGAGAGGACAGTGTGATTGAAAGCTGAATGGTCAGTGCTGTTTGGGGCCATGCTGCAGCAGGGAGGGGGCTGTGGACGACTCCCCTGGCACTGTTAGCTTCACCCCATTAACCGATGGATTTATCCCAGTGGGAGAGGGCCAGAGATGGGTGAGTTGGTGATGGAGGGGCTGACGCAGAGATGAAAGGCACGAACTGCTCAACGTGCTCCCTCATTTGGGTGCCTCAGCTTCTGACCAGCCCCCACGAGAGCCTGCAGCTCCCACTGACTTCAGCGGGTCCTCAGCACACTGGGAATCAGCCCAGTGGTCTCTGGTTGGGTGCCCACATTAGTGAGCACATCTGCAAACCTCAGCCTGAATGTGGTGCCTGAGGCGGTGACGGGGACCAAGGCAGCTTGGCCAGGGATCAGGACACTGAGGAAAGGAAGAATGAGGCAAACATTCCAGGCAGTGATACCACGGCACTGAGCAGAGGAACAGGCTTCTAAGACCCATTGCCTGGGTCCTTTCAAAGGACCATTTATAAAGCCATAGGTACTGGCCACAGGGCAGAATCCTGACCTGGATTCCAGGTGTGATCGCAGCTTTCTCCTGTGTCTGAGTCCCTAACCCAGGGCTGTCCCGAGGGGGGTGTGGGGCCTGGGGCGGAAATGATGGATTCGTCTCTTCCGGGACTGACCGGACCAGCCAATCGCACTGGCCCATGGGGCCCCCCAAAACATGGGTCCCGGAGCAGTCACCCCAATTTGCACTACCCAAGGGACGGCTCTGCCCTAACCCACCAGCTCGTAGAGCAGCCTGGGGGAGGGGCCCTCGAGACAGATAGGCTGCCCTTCCCTGTCGTTCCCAAGGTGCTCACAGTGACTCCTGTTGTCTGGTTCTAGCTATGTCACGTGGCACTCCTTCATGGCTACCATCCTGTTGTCTTTAACCGCCGTGGTCAGAATGGCTGCCCCCTAAGCACCACCACACTGCAGCCATATGGGGATCCTGCTGACCTGCGAGAAGCCATCCAGTACATCCGCTCCCGGTGCCCAGGGGCCCTGCTCTTTGCAGTGGGGGAGAGCACTGGGGCAGGGCTCCTGTTCTCCTACCTGGGAGAATGTGGTTCCTCTAGCCTCCTGACAGCTGCTGGCTGCATCTCCCCCATCTTTGACCCTCGGGGATGGTTTGAAGATGGGTGCCCCCGGCTGTGGCAGCAACTCTTGCTCATGTCCCAGAAGGTGTGGCTCAGCCGGTGAGTGACTCGTCTGTGGGTCTGTCTGGGGTGGAGATGGACAGCGTGTAGTGATGGCCTGGCCCTGCAGTGTCTGAAACAATGAGCCACAGCCTCCCAGCTCCACCAGGCCTTGAGTGCAGCTTTGCAGTGCACTGAGGGATCCCAGTGGCTTTGCCCATGTCTCCTGGACCCACGTGAGATCCTGTAGGATCAGCAAGTAGGGGACAGAGCTGGTGACCCTAGGCTGTAGCTGGAGCAGTCCTGGTTCGTGAGAGTGCTTCTCAGCACAACATGGGGAGCTGCAGAGCCCTGGGGGAGGTGGATGAAGGGAGACGGCCTTTTCTGTCCCAGATAGAGCCATGGTGAGATGGCCCATTCAGCCTTGAGCTGCCCCATGCTCCATCAATGAACCTCCCCAGCACAGGGAGCTGTCCCCCGTCCTCGTTCTCCTGCTTGGGCTCTTACCAGTGTCTGTCTCCCCCAGGTTTGCCACGGTGCTAGGGGAGGTTTTGCCCCTGGATCGTTTCTTTGGGGGCCAGTCACTGAGGGAGCTGGAGGAGGTCTTGTTCTGCCAGGCCCAGACCTGGGACTTGTACTGGGAGAGGAACGACCCGCTACGGGATGTGGACGAGGTGTCAGTACCAGTGCTGTGCATCTGCAGCCAGGACGACCCCATGTGTGGGGCCCCCAAGGACACTCTGCCCTTTGAGCTGTTTGAGACAAACCCCTACTTCTTCCTAGTGCTCACCCAGGGAGGTGGACACTGTGGCTTCTTCAAGGATTGCCTGTGTGGTGCCTTCTGGAGCCATGAGGTGCTGCTGGAATTCTTCCACACCACTGTGGATTTCCTCCTCACAGAGGACAAACTGAAGGGCCAGGCCAAGAAGAGAGGGGCCAGGCCGGTGCCGAAGGTCACCCAGGGCAGAGGTGGCTGCAGGCAGGAGTCCTGCTGCCCCCACAATAGACCTGACATTTACCGCTGGCAGCGCTCCTACACCCGCTGACAGCTGGTCTTCACTCAGCATCTGGAGGATGATCTGCTGACCTTTCCCAAGAGCCCCCGTGCACGCTTGGGACTGTGACTCTTTGTAACAAGAACGGGGCCATACCTAGGGTGGTGCAGGACCCGGGCTGGAAGTGACAGGGTTTGTCTCTTCCAGGACCAACCATGCCGGCCAATCGCACTGGCCTGCGGGGCCTCCCAAAGCACAGGACCCGGAGTGGTCACCCCAATGCGCCCTACTCAAGGGACGGTTCAGAACAAGAACATAGCATTTCCGTGAACAGATCGTGTTAGATGATAACTGCAGCGTGACAGAGGTGCTGCGTCCTGGCTGGGTGTTGGCATCTCAGGTGCTGCCCTGTCAGAAGTGGTGTTTGTGTCCCAGTGCCGCTGGCTTCTGGTTGTGGTAATGTGATGTGGTTTTGTGCCTTTGCTGACGGTTGCCAGGTACTGTGATGTCCCAGTGCTAGAAGATTGGGGCCCAGACAGGTGCTGTGCTGCAATGGAGCAGAAGGGGATGAATGATTCTTATTTATTTTGTAGCACCCAAATTTGTGCTGGGTGCTTCATGGAAGATGGACAAAGACACAGGCCCTGCTGCAGTGAGCTTATCTCTAGGTTTTACATGTGTCCAAGCAAATGGGGGTAGCTGAGAGTCGGGAGGGAGGCCAGGGGCTGCAGCAGAATGATCAGGGGTGACTCAGGGCAGCATTTTGGGCGTGTTACTTTTCTCCATATAGCTATAAAAAGAAGGATGATAAAGCTCTAAACCAGTAACTGGTGTAGATTCCCTTTCTGAGGCTGGGACTGCTGTACGTAGCTTGGTGATGCAGTGCTAGACACTCCTGGGTCCTCATCTGTAATGCACCCCTGGGGTGTGGTTGTGCCTCCTTGCCTGTGTGTGCAGGCTAACTGGCATTCTTCATTAATGTTACATGACAAGACTAAAGGATGCTTGAAATGTTATTTTAAGCTCAAAGACTGGTGTCTTCCTTTCTGTTCTGCATCTCGCTGGGATCAGTAGATGCTCATTCACAGACACAGGTGTGCACACACTCACAGACACATGCACCCACAGGTGCGCGCACCCCCCCCCCCGCCTGCACACTAATGCTCAGCTTAGGTGACGCTTATTACACACCGCAGCCAGACAGCTTAGCTCTGTCCCCATAGGGAAGCCACAAGGGTACTTTATTCCTCCATAACAAACACCAGCACATTAAAAGTCCACCACAACCACTGGCTGATGTCCTGTTCCTCAAGTATCATTGCACTCAGAGCTCCCATGTTCCCATGTACCATTGCAAAGGGGGCAGAGGTAAGGTTGTCTGGGTGTGTCGTGTGGAGAGCGAGAGTGGCAAGGGATGTCATGGGACTTGTGTTCCAGTACAGGAAGGCCTGAGCCAGTAACACAGATCCAGTGGCAGGAGGAAAACATATCCATTCTTTGATGGGTTGGAGAGCCTGACTCCTCTGTATGCAGCCTGGTGCGCTCCTGGGCAGCGAGCTGATGAGAACAGCAGCATCATGAAATGGGTGGATTAGGAGCCTGGGAGATGCCGCTGAGAGCAGGGTCTCTTAGGGGGGCCCCTAGCACCTAGGCATGGCACGAGCAATGCCCTGGAGCAGGCGCTGAGCAGGGATGATCATGCCCACTGGGAGCTTGGCGAGACTGAGCTGCCTGGGAGCTTGGCTATACTCGCCCCTTTCCTGAGGGAATGCAGCTCCCCCAGTGCTGCCGTAGACAAGGTCCAGGGACGGCTGTACCAAAGAGCCCTGCTCTCAACAGGCTTAGTCAACGCTGCAGTTAAGCTGTCAGGAGCCCTGCCTCTGCTGGGGAGGTGCCCCCGTCACCATGGCATCTCCCAGTCACTAGTGCATTTATCTTCACCAGATCCCGTGGGGCAGGGCAGGGTGAGGCACCCAGCAGCTCAGTGACTTGCCCAAGGTCGGGCAGGAATCGAACCTGGGTCTCCCAACCCCAAGGCAAGCCCCTAGTCCCAGGGCCACCCTTCCTCTCTCAAGGGTGGGGCTTTTTCCAAAACAGAGGCTGGTATGCCAGACACTGGCTGGGAGGTGAGGGGAGGGAGTGGGGGCTTGGCAAGCCAGATGCAGCAGCCTCAAGTCTCTGAGGCACCAAGCTCTTTATTGGACTATTAGTGAACTTGTGTTATTGTTGGTGCTGTAGGGGAGCTGGGGTGAGCCAAGGCTGCTCCCCTGGGAATGTTGCGTGCGGCG